AAGTAATTTTATTCCCATTCCCATTTTTAGGAACCCGAGGCTCAGTGAGAGCAATTAACTTCTCCAAATCATATAGTTAATAAGATCACAAGATGCTGAGGACACAGGATTCAAACCTTGGACTGGATTAAAACCAATTCCAAATTTTGTGCCCTCTTTCTGTGAAGAGTCAACCTGGAGATTTCCAAGAAGCAAAAACTACTAAGAAATATTGGGTACCTGCGAGGTGCTCGGCATTATGCAATGTGCTGCATTTCTGGTGCTCTGGAATGGGTTTGATCTTAATCTCACCTGTCAGTTAAAAGGTCCTATTAGAATATTAATTTTGCTAATTTTAAATGTCCATCCCTAGACTTCAGTTTCATTAGGTATAATATTCACCATTAGGCTGATTTAATAGGAAGATAGATTGAGATTATGTTATTGTTTATTTCATTCTTCCCTCGAACCTCCCTGAATTAGGATTCCTAGTTATTTTGGTTTTAATAATCTCCATTTGTCTGAATGCATTTTTATGTATTTTTAACTCTTTTTGTTGTTGTTACTTTTAGGTACCTGGTGATGCTCAGTGGGAACGCTTTGCTCTCTGCTTGGAGACCTTGGTGGTGTTCAGGGAACCAAATGTGGTGCTCGGACTTGATCCAGGGTTGCAGTGTCCATACCACTAGCTAGGCAAGTGCCTTAATGTTTGTACTATTTTGTTGGCATCTTATTGGTTTTTTGGGGCCATACTCAGTGTTCAGTGCTCAGGGACTACTCCAGATTCTGTGCTCAGAGGTGGTTTTCAGTGGTGATCAGGAGAGCATATGCGGTGCCAGGAATTGAACCAGGGTCAGCTCCAAGTACAGCAAGTACCTTTAACCCCTGTAATATTTCTCCAGCCTCCATATCAATGTAGTTTTAGTTTTCTTTCTATGTACTTTTTCTTTAGTATCAGTCTTTTCCTTCTTTAAATGAAGGTGTAACTGCTTTCTAGCTAGTCACTTTGGGTGATGGCCAAATAGAGTTGATGCTGTGCTCTCCCCTCATATGCAAATCAAAATTTCAACTAAATACACAGTATTTCCTGGGGCCTCATTGATAAAGGGCAATAGAGTCCTCAGGTCCTGGAGAAGCATGATGCTATGGAATAAGTACCAGCCCAGATTCAAAAGCTGAGGAGCTTCTTTCTCTCCTGGGCAGGGCAGAACGTTGTTAAAGAGACAGTTCTTTGGCCACCCCCAAGAGCGTGTCCAGAGAACACACGACCAACACTCACAGATGCCTCCAGGGAGTGGGGCTTCAAGAAGTTGTAACCTCCTTCTTCCCCGCCCCCAAATGATTCCATTAAAGACCTGCAGCTTTCCAGTGAGGTGGAGGGGGATGGGGAGCAAAGCCCTCTTCGATAGTCTGGAGGCATTTCCAAGGCTGCTAAGGAAAAGGATATTTCCTCTGGGAAAGTAGATGCAGTTGTGTATGCGCACGCATGCATGCCACCAGGGACTTGACCAGCACTGGCTGCAGACCAGGCAGGCGCCTGAACAGCTGTGCCATCTCTTGCCCCACAAGTCTAATTGGGAGGCAAGAGGTCATGGAAAAGGCTGGCTGTCCCTCAGTGACTCTTGGAACTCTTCCGGGTACTTTGATTCTCCTTTAAAAAGAAAAGGGCCAGAGGACAAATGGCCCTACCCTAAAGTAAGAGCAGACACAGGGGCTGTGTGACATTTATTTAGCGCAGGCTAAAGGACACCAGCTCCTCCCAATCCACACCTGATGGAAAACAGGGAGCCTGATGGGGCCCTATGCTCAGGAAATGCTTTCTAAAGGTAGTGGGTAGGTGCATTGCTGATGCGGGTTCAAAGAAAGGAGAGGGGGGAGGGGAGGAGGAGGGAGAAAAGAGGAGGAGAAGGGGAGAAAAGGGGGGAGAGGGGAGAGGGGAGGGGAGAGCAGAGAGAGGAGCTTTCTAGAACCAGGGGGAAAAGAAAGCATACTGCAGACCTCCAGCTGTCCATGGGGCCCCATGTTTAGTCCGGTTTTGAACATTTGTAGGTCTGCTTGGTGATACTGTTGTTACTGACATCATGACTTTTCTATGAGACAAACCCTACTTGGAAGTTGTAAGCTGCATAAAACATAGAATGTGGGAAAGGAGAATAACGGGATCTCATTAAAAGGCGTACTTGCTTTAAATTTAATAGGGGACATATGTTTAGAATGTAAGATGAATCTCAGAGTAATCTCAAGACAAAAGTACTTAGAAAACACAAGAAAAGACAAATGGAACCTGATCACCACATAAAACAGGCAGGTATAAAAGAATAAGGGAATAATCAAAGACAAACTTTAAAACACCTAGATTCCGTATAGAAAAAAAATGGTAATAAATTAATTCATTTCTATAATTTCACTAAGCTTCGTTGTCCTATAATGGATGAACAGGCACGAGGGCTTCAGTTACACTGGTGATATGAGTGAGTGGTATAGCCAAACACAGACTCAACAAAACTGAAAACATGAGGTCTAAGCTGTAACTACAGAAACTTTGTAATGTGCCTGTCAAGCTGACAGGTGGAGATGGGATGGGGTTGGGGTGGGGAGGGAATATGGGAACACTGGTGGAGGGAAGTTGACACTACTGGTGGGATTGGTGTTGAAATACTATGTACCAAAACTCAACTATCAACAACTTTTAAGATCATAGTTTTTTTTTTTTTTTTTTTTTGGTTTGTTTTTTTTTTGCTTTTGGGGTCACACCCGGCAATGCACAGGGGTTACTCCTGGCTCTGCACTCAGGAATTACTCCTGGCGGTGCTCAGGGCACCATATGGGATGTTGGGTCGACCGCATGCAAGGCAAATGCCCTACCCGCTGTGCTATTGCTCTAGCCCCTAAAATCATAGTTTTTTTATATAAAAAAATAAATAAAACTTCACAGTGTCCTGAGTTCATCAGTCAGAAGGCGCATAGTGGCCAGAACAACCTACTGCTGATAAAAGACACACTTGAGCTTTAATGATAAACACAGACGAAAGTAAAAAGATACAAAAACAATCATTCAGGCAAATGTTAGCCCCAAAGACAGAGGGATGGCCATTCTGCTACATCAAACAAAATAAACGTAAAACAGAAAAGTTAATAAAAGACAGATCGAAATTACATAGGAGATCAATGCAAGAAGATATTTTTCTTGTTTTGGGGTCACATCTTACAGTGTCCAGGGGCTGCTCCTGGCTTGGTGCTTGGGACTTGTACATGGCAGGGCTTGTGAGACTGAGCCTGGAAGGACCCCATGCAAAGTCCTTCTTCATGCAAAGTCTGCACCTGGGATTGGGTGTCAGTCCCAGGTACTGCATGTGGCACCCCAAGCACAGAGCCAGGATAAATCCCTGAGCACACTTGGCAAGTGTGGTGGGCCAAGCTACCCCTTTCTTCCAAAAAAAAAAGTAAAGGAAAAAAAGAAAAAAAGCAAGAATAAACAAATAAAGGGACCACCTTAAACTAAAATGCTCTGCGCTGTGAAAAAAACTATGGCCTGGTGGACAGGGCTCAAAGTGCTAGTGTGCGTGCTTTGCTTGGGGATGGCTGGGTTTGAGCCTGGGCAACACAAGGTCCCCTGAGCACAGCTGGGCATGGCCCCAAGCAGTACTGAGCCAGGAGTAGCTCCCATTACCACAGGGTGTGGTCAGTCCAAAGAGAAAAGAAAAAAACCTATACTAAAAAAATAAGACATCTTATTTGGATATAGCCCGCAAAATAGTATGGGAAGAAAATATTTGCACAGGGCCAGGGAAATAGTTTGATGCAGGGCCATGCCTGGCTTCACCCTAACACCAGTTGCCTGTTGAGTATCACTGAGTGTAGCCTTGAAGCCCTCCACGTACGACCAGGTGGTCCCTGGCACTGCAGGGATGGAGCAGCACTGTATTTCTGCACCTCACAATGTACTGTCAGCTGGCTCAGTTTTATTATTATTGCATTAGCTCAATAATAAGCATCATAAAAAAAAGAAAAATAAGGTCATTTTTTAAACTTGTTTTCATGATAGATACAATTATATAATCCATTATAACTAAGAATTAGAATTAAGTAATTGTGTTATAATAACACAATTATAATACATTATAACTAAGATGAAAAATAAGAAAAGGCAAAAATAAACACAAGATTAATATCATTTTCTGAACTAAAGATTGTATTTCTTTTTCATAATTGAGTTTCAGTCATACAATGATCCAGCACTCATCCCTCCACCAGTGTACATTTCCCACCACCAACGTCCCCCGTTTCCTCACCACCGTTCCCCCACCCTCCACCTCCTACCCCCAGTCTCCCTTTATGGGAGGCACTTTCCTTCTAGCTCTCTCTAAAGATTATATTCCTATACAAATTACAGGCTTAGGGTATATAAACTGAAGTACATGCTAATAGCTGCTATCCACAATTGGGTTTCTGTGTTAAACTTGGACATTACTGTGAAATATTTTAAGTCTCCTAATTGGGCTATATAGCACATATTATTTGGAAAAATTCTAAGAGTCAATTACACAAGATTTGCCTGTTCCCGATTGGTCTCCACTGTAGCCATTACACTATAATTTTACTGCAAGGAATGATTACACTTTGAAATTAAAGCCACAAAAGTTTATTTATTTTTGTTTTGTTTTGTTTTAGGTCCACGTCCGGTGGTGCTTAGGGATTATTTCAGACTCTATGCTCAGGAATCACTCCTGGCAGGGCTTAAGGTACCATATGTGGTACCAGCAGCTGAAACTGATTGGCGGCCTACAAGGCAAGCACCCTGCCTACCATACTATCACTCTGGCACCTACTCAAAAAGTTTTTGTTGTGGTGGTGATGCTGCTGCTGGTGTTTAAATCCAGGGCATCACATATGCAAGGCAAGTGTTATACTGCTGAATTACATACCTAGTTTTAGTCTGAGAATTTGAAAGACAAAGCATTTCCACCATATGATACAAAGACAACTTCTCTAGATATTGATGTATCACAATATAAACTTACCTTTAGTTGGATCCCAGCATACAAAGTAATCAATTAAAGACAAGCCGTTCTTATAGTAAAATGTGGTTAATTCCAGCCAATCAGCATCAAGTGTAGTAATGACAGGTCCTTTTCTCGTTACTTTCATTGACAGAACTCCTTCATGATACGTCCAGCAGGTTGATTCATCATCAAAAACATTGAAGACTATATACAACTTACTATCTGAGGTAGGCAGTCAAAAAGAAGAGGAAAAAGGGAGACAATGAAATGTCAATAAAAAGATTCTTAAATTTTTATTTTTGGGGCCATACCTGGCTGTATTCAGGTCTGACTCCAGGCTCTGTGCTCAAGAGATCCCTCTTGGTGATCGTTAGGGAATTATAGATGATACAGGAGATTGAGGTAAAACCTAGATATGCTGCATGCCAGATAAAAGTCTTATGCACTGTACTGCCTCTTAAACTCAAGATTCTTAATTTTTTTGGCTTGATTTTCTGGCCACACCTAGCATTACTCAGGACTGACTCCTAAGTAAGCATCCAGGGATCTCTCCTGGTGGGATTCGGGACCATATGTGGTGTTAGGGATTGAATGCAGGTTTGCAGCATGCAAGGCAAGTACCTTACATACTGTGGTGTATAGGGTGAATTGAACTCCAATTCTTAATTTTTTAAAAAAAAACTTAATTTTAAGTTATTTCTAGTTTACAAACATGAAGAATAATAAAACTACCCTTTCAACTTCCCAAGTATTAACATATGCTGTTTGCTTAAGGAGCTGGAGCCATAGCCCAGCAGGTAGGGCGTTTGCCTTGCATACAGCTGACCCAGGTTTGATTCCCCCACCCCTTTCGGAGAGCCTGGCTAGCTACTGAGAGTATCTTACCCACATGGAAAAGCTTGGCAAGCTACCCATGACGGATTCAATATGCCAAACACAGTAACAAGTCTCACAATGGAGACGTTACTGGTGCCCGCTCGAGCAAATCGATGAACAACAGGAGGACAGTGCTATAGTGCTATGTTTGCTTAAGACAATTTTTTTTTTTGCTTTTTGGGTCACACCCAGCGATGCACAGGGGTTACTCCTGGCTCTGCACTCAGGAATTACTCCTGGCGGTGCTCAGGGGACCATATAGGATGCTGGGAATCGAACTGAGGTTGGCTGCGTGCAAGGCAAATGCCCTACCCGTTGTGCTATCGCTCCAGTCCCTGCTTAAGACTATTTTGAAGTAAATGAGAGATGGATTTAGTTAAGGCTTCCTATTCTTGTTCTCCAAAAATGGCTGCTATAATCACTTTGGTGTCCATCATTCCCATAGACACGTTTTTCTTTTACTGTACTTTATATACTCATAAATGATATACTATATTTACAATTAAACTTTAAAAGCGATATTACAAATATACATCAACATGAGTTGATTTTATTACCCAATGTTATATTATTGAAGAATAATTCAAATATAGTTCAATAATTTAGTTAAACTGGTCCAGAGTATTCCAGATTACTATTTTCCTGTTGATGGACAAATACATTGTTTATAATTTTTTGTTAACATTCATGTCTTAGACATATGTATAACTCTAAAATACATATTTAGATATGGAATCACTGGGTAATATCTATGTTTTTACTATAAGTTGGCAATTTCTTAACTTGGGGAGGATGTCTATGGATCCATATTGATGGTGGTGGGATTTTAGGAGGTCTAACATTGTTTTATAGAAAAAGTAATTGGTATACATGTCTTATGTGTTTTTTTTTTCTGGGTTAAGACTCCATTAATCTCACCAAATTCTCTGAGAAGTTTGTTTTTTCTTGTGTCTCCCTCCACTGCCCACCACACAAAGTTAAGAATTGTTACTATGGAAATATTTTTAAAAACATTTAGAAAGTGGACTCTAAAAACTAATTAAAGTACATGGATTGTATATTGGGTTTACAACCTAAAGGACTGGAAATAGACATTTGGCAAAGTCAGGATGGGATTCAGCATAGAGGGCCAAGTTAGCAGTGCAAGAGACACTAGCTCTCTGGCTGGAGCCCCATGAACTTTCATTCACTTACATTTCTAAGAATTGTTTTACACTGTGGGAAGAACAGGATAGTTGTAAGCTGAGAAACTGGTTGAAGGGGAGGGTTATGGCAGTGAGGATGGATGACATGATGAGCTGATTTCAGGGGACAGTGTTGAGTTCATCACCCCACCAAACCGAAAGGTCCTACCACCAATGTGTGCAGAGGCAGCACCAACATTGACTAACGGACCAGTTAACGGCAGCTCACTTAGTACAGACCTTATTCTCTGCTAGGAACAGAATAAATATCATAAACACTGTAAAATATCTTGTCTCCTTACTACAACCTCCTTTTCATAAAGCAGTAGGGGCAATCTGTCTCCAGAACTCAGAACTATTAAGGCGTACATGCTCTGTGACTTTCTCTACCAATGCTTTTAAAACAAGCCATGAGAGTGTCAGAAAAACTTTAATAGTTCAAAATTCATGAATACATTACTCTTAGTTTCTTGGAGAGACATCCTAGCTAGTAAAGAATTGTTTAAAGTGATTAAACTGCTTACACTGATTATAATTATTTTTTAAAGTTATTTTAGGGTGCAGACACCATTGTTGTAATAATTGTTTTACCATGATTCTCTGATTTTGTGGCCTAAATAATAATCAAAGAAAAACAACTGACTTCAAAGTTGAAAACTAACCATGAAACGAGAAATGCCAAAACTAAAATTCTCAGTCTTTAAGTAGAAACACGAATCAGAATAGCTTCCTTCATTGGATCACTTTCTTAGCAAGCATATGTCCTGTTTCCATTTTACAGGGGAGCTGGTGAAGGAGGGACACAATTTCACCAGTTTTCGTAGGTGAATGGCAATGTCTGACCATGTCAGGGGCAACTACTTGAAAATGGTTCAAAATTTATTTCTGATTGTAAAATGTTTTACAAGATACATTCATATCAGTTTATTCAGTCTAGCAGTGTGCAGGTCTTACTACTGGTTCTGTGCTGAGGGATAACTTCTGGTGGGGCTCAGAGGATCATACGGGACGCTGGGGATTGAACCTGGATCAATCCCCATGGCAAGTACCCTGCTTCGCTGTACTATTGCTCCAGCCCCTTTCAGTCTTTTTTCCTTTTTTTTTTTTTTAATATCTTTATCTTTAGAATTTTGCAATCTTGAAAAACATTAAGAAACTTATTCTGCTAAAGATATCGGGGACATATTCTATGTATACTCATCCTGTCTGTTACCTTCTCCTTTTCTTAATTTCGAGGACCAAGGGTTGCCATCTCTTTGCATTTGGTACTGTCCACTTTCATGAAGTTCTTCCTCAATTCCACTTTCAGATGACTGACCACTCAATGTTCCTTCATTCCAATTTCCACATTTTTCATCTGAACTATTTTTCATGTGATGTGTTGATTCTAGCTCTCCATCATGGTTGGTTCCATTACAATATTTAAGTGGTGGATGATGTTGAGATAGGAATCCAACAAACTTCATCCCTTTTTTAGCAGCTGCATTAATCTGAAGTGTTAAAAGAGATGGCAGAATAAGTTGTAAACTTCATCTATATTGGTTGCTTTATTGGTAAACCTTTCAGTTTATTGAGAAATTGACCAGTAACTAAACCAGTAAGTAAACTACTTGATAGCTTCTATAGAACCCCATTCACTCCTAAGACCATGTCACATACAACTATGATTTCTTCACATGGAATATAATTTAGAAATTATGAAAAAAGGTATAACTTTTTCTCTGAAAGTCAACTATTCAGGAAGAACTAATAATTCTATATTAAAATTAACCTCCGAACAATGATCTCTCCAGGTGAAGCAAATTAAAAACGATTATAAGAAACCCTATAAAAATGACCATATACATCCTAATTAATAAAGAGGAGACATTAACTTAAAAACTGAAACCACACAGCATTGGATGCTTGATCATGAAAATGTTTTACAACTCATTCTGACAATTGTCTACATATAAGTACAATTTATGCAATGACTTAGGGAGTGTCCTGTATTTTAGGGGAAGGATCATACTCAACATGTTCAGGCTACCTGGTGGTTCTCAGAGACCATGGAGTGTTGGGGGACCTTTGATGGTTGGAATGGCAGAGCACTGCCCCTTGTTATCTCTACACCCCATGAAAAGTCTTTCAGATAGTCACCATCTTAAATTGGAGTTAAATATTCCCAATGTTGAAGTTGAAGAGATAGTACAGAGAATAAGGTCTTTCCACTGCCCTAAATAAATCCCAGTTTGATCTCTGGTACTGCCTATCATTCCCTGAATCCTACCTGGAGCAATCCCTGAGTTTATAGCTAGGAATAAGCCCTGAACACAGATGAGTGTGTCCCCTACCAAAACCAAAACAAAACAAAATGGAAACAAACAAAACCCAATAAAAATACTTTAAGTTATTTCTTGGGAGGTAGAGAAAGAGTTATGGGTTGCAACATTCATAGTTAGAATGAAGGCAGAGAGATAACTCAAAGGGCAGACTACACTCCTGGGAGCCCCCCTTCCCCTTCCAAAAACAAACAAAGTAGAATATCTACTCAAAGAGGATGGCTGTAACTCAGCTGCAGCTGATGAGAATTCTGAGGGCAGAGCTAATGTAGGTATAGGAAGCTAGGATGAAGAACTATGACTGATGCAATGTAATTTACTCTTTTAATGAACTTATGGAGAGTATAATAATGCTTGAAGCCTTAAAAATAACCATAAATAGGCTGTGGAATAACTTATGGCCTGGCCTTGCCAGTGTGAGGCCATGAGAATTCACATTTTTAAATTTTTAAATTTTAAGTTCTCTTTTTTCATTTTTAAAAAATTTAGTTGCCATAAAACTACAAAGTTATTCGTGATTGGGTTTCAGGCATACAGTGTTTTAACACTCACTGCCCCTCAAGTTCTGAGCACACCATCCCAGTGGTGATTGCTTCTGGGATTCATGGAGCCACCCAGGAATCTGTGATCTCTGGGGCATTGCAAACAGGTGTATGTGTGATCACTGCAACTAAAGAAGTGTGTGAGCAGCACAATTAAATGTATAAGCCCTAGTGAGTCGATGAGAAAGCACCACAGCCAAGCATGCATGTATTGCCACCCACTGTGTCACCTCCTGCACTGCTGTCACAAGAAGGGAAGGAGGACATTATTTATTTATTTATTTATTTATTTATTGGTCACACCCACTGATGGTCAGGGGTTCCTCCTGGCTCTGCATTCAGCAATTACTCCTGGTGGTGTTTGGGGGAGTATATGGGATACTGGGGAATCAAACCCGGGACAGCTTTATGCAAGGCAAACGCCCCAAGGGCACTTTTTAAATGGTCATCGTAAACTGTCCTGAATATCAGATATCCAGGAATAGGAGAGGAACAGAGTAAGGAGACATGGCATTATGAAAGGGGAATCAGGTTTTCCACTTTTGGTGGCTCTTATTAGTAAATTTGGCTGAAAAAAAAATGAAGGCTTTTCCTATTAACTAAAGATTTATGGAGAGAAGGCAAAACAGTAGTACAGCAGATAGGGCATAAGTTTGCCTTGCATGCAGTCAACCTGGATTTTATCCCTGGCATCCCATATGGTTCCCCAAGCACTGTTAGGAGTAATTCCTGAGTACAGAGCCAAGAGTAAGCCCTGATCACCAGGTGTGACCCCAAATGCTAAAATACAACAACAACAACAAAAGAGAAGGAAGGAAGGAAGGAAGGAAGGAAGGAAGGAAGGAAGGAAGGAAGGAAGGAAGGAAGGTTAGTTTATCTGGAAAAGCCCAGTAACAAGTTCATTTGTTTCATGTCTTTTATATATCTTTTTTTTTCAGTTAGAAGAATGATATATTGATTTCTTATCTGCAAGGACAGGAATACTGAGCCACATCCCTGTGCTAAGAAGGGCAAATTTAAATGTTAATTTTGTTTAAAAATCCCCAGGAAAATACTTTTAAATCTCATTTTAAAACTAGAACAAACAGTATAAAGTTAAAAATGTGACATAAAATCTATCTTCTGGGGTCAGGAATATGACTCTCAGACGGTGTGTGTGAATAGATTATTCACATGTGTGAGGTCCTGTGTTGATCCCAGGCACCACACAGACACAAATACATATATGCACACACACACACACACACACACACACTGCTATTGCCACACATAGACACACATCTAGCTTTTCAACAGTCAACTTGTTATATAAAGCAGAAATTCAGAAATAATATTTGGCATTCATTTACTGTTCTTGTTCATGCACAGGGCAATGTTAAAATATTTAATGTACTATGTTTCCTAAAGCTTTTCTCTTCATGAAATAGCCTCATTATTCTAATTGCTGAAATAACAGTACTTTCCTGTTTAAATAGGTCTTTAACTGTGTCCAGGAAGTCAAATGCAAAACAAGGGCTATGATGGTGATCTATTAGGACTAAATTGGTCCTTAATTTTGTTTTCAGAAGAATTTTTCTAGACTAGATTATTTACTGGGAAAAAAAAAACCTAGGAAATTTCCCAGAATAGTAGCAGTAGTTAACAATATGTATACATTTTAATTAAATATGTAGTCCCACAAAATTGTGAAAAACTTGATTGGCTGGTGTCCTTATCTTTCAATGGGAAGTAGCATCAGTGGCCATGGTAACTGGCTAACTACAAACACAGATAATTTCACACAGTCATTTAAAATTTAGGAACAGTCTTAGAAACTGAACAAATTTCAGATTATTTCTTGAAGGAAAATTCCTTGGGTTTTTGCTCACACCTGTTTGAACAAAGCCAAACCTTACAGCTCTGTCAATCATGATCACAATCAGGATCATCCTGTTGTTCCTTGATTGCCTCGAGCAGCCCCCAGTAATGTCTCCTTCATCCTAGCCCTGAGATTTTAAAAAGTGCCATATTAGAGGCTCTTACAGGGTTAGGAGAATGAGACGTATCATTGTTACTGGTATTTGGCATATTGGGTACGCCACAGGGAGTTTGCCAGACTCTGTCGTGTGATCAGGTAACATTCGATAACCTGCCAGGTTGTCCAAAGTAAGAATGAGAAAATAAGATGTCGCGTGAATACAGCTGCGTGCTTCTGGGAGCTGGATTTTATAGTCTCTGGGTCTTGGCCATTGATGGGATTACACGGTGCTGTCAATACAACTAGCAAAACCCTAGCAAAAAACTGAGCTGGAGCCATAGCACAGCGGGTAGGGCGTTTGTCTTGCAAGCAGCTGACCTGGGTTCGATTCCTCCAACCCTCTCCAAGAGCCCGACAAGCTAGACAAACTACCGAGAGTATCCTGCCTGCACAGCAAAGCCTGGCAACTTACCTGTGACGTATTGAATATGCCAAAAACAGTAACAGTAAGTCTCACAATGGAGATCTTACTGGTGCCTGCTCGAGCAAATCGATGAACAATGGGAGGTCAGCAAAAAACAACTAGCAAAAAACTAGCAAAATTACTTGGTTGTGGGTGAGTCACAGGGAAGTACCTTGCATGTGGGAGGCTGTGGGATTGACCCCAGTTTAGAGAAAGAGGCCGAGACATAGAGACAGAGAGATGCAGAGACACAGAGAACTTTTCACTATCAAATCCCATCAATTTAGAATATTCATGAAAGTACAACTTAAAAAAATTTTAATATCAAAATCAACAGCAATGTACATATAGCATATATTTTTCACTTATGTTTTACTTAACTTGTATATACTTTTTTATTTTTTATTTATTTTGTGATTTTTGAGCCATACCTGGCTATGTTCGAGATTTACTCCTGGCTCTGTGCTTAGGGATCACTACTGGTGGCATTCAGGGGACCATACAAGGTGCAGGGATTGAACCTGGGCCTGGTGTGTGCACAGCAAGTGCCTTATCTGCTGTATCATTTTTCCGGCCCTTGTAATGATTTTTCTATCTGGATAGTAGAAATAGCTGTCATGTTTAATGTCCATCAAATATTCTATGTATCAATATACTGCTGCCTCTTTTCAGTTTTCAAATTCTTGAAAATTTGACCCCTTGATCAGTGTGAATTAAAATATTTTTGTAAAAAAAATAATTTTTTTCAGGGTTCTGGGGTATGTTGCCCAAAGGTAGAGTACTTGTCTTGCTTGTGTGAGGTCCTGGATTCAATCCACAACACCACAGAACAAAACAAAAAGCCTTTTCCCTTTTTCAATTAATTTCTTGGAATGGTTTCCTGAAGAGGAAGGAAGCTACTGTCTTACAAAATAAAAATGGAATTTATGATTTTTATTACTAAGCTGATATTCAGAAACATTGCACTGATGTATTACAATGCCAGATGCAACAGCTACATGTCTTCTCAAAGTTCTGTCTATGTGATTTAAAACTTTTTGTTTTGGGGGGGTCATACCTGGCGATGCACAGGGGTTAGTCCTGGCTCTGCACTCAGGAATTATCCCTGGCAGTGCTCAAGCGACCATATGGGATGCTGCAAATCAAACCCGGGTCAGCTGCATGCATGGCAAACGCCCTACCTACTGTGCTATCGCTCTAGCTCCTAAAACATTTTTTTTTTGGGAGGGGCACACTCAGTGGTGCTCCGGGGACCTGCAATACCTGAGATCAAGAACAACCTGTTGAGCTGTCCCTCCAGACCAGCTTTAATACTTTAAATTTGATTTCCCAGTTATTTCTATTAAACATTATTAGGCTGAACCTTTCCCCAACTATCTCTTTATTGTTGCTGTCTATAGGTTCTTTCCGACAAATGAAGATTCTATTTCATGCCTGGAATTCAGACCTATATATTCTTTAAGTGATCCTCCTGGAGATATATTTATTACAAATTTCCTCCCTAATGCTTTTTTAGAGGGAAGTAAACTACTTGTTTGTTTTGGGGGTCACACCCCACGGTGCTCAGAGTCCCCAGTGCTGGAAGGGCAGTGCTGGAAGGATCACCCAGTGCTGGAGATCAAAGCCAGGGCTCCAATATGCAAAGCTTGTGCTCCTGCCCTTTGAGTTCTCTCCTGGGCCCAGTAAAATACTTTCATTTGGGAGATATGAAACAGGAGAGAGACTGAAGGGAGGACCCTGTAAGGGAAAAGATATTGCATGCTCCAGACCTGATGTAGGTCAATGGATGTGCCCAAAAGTCTTTTTAGAATTTAATTTCCCTTGTATTTAAGTACTTAACCACCCATTATCACTGTCACTGTCACTGTCCTCCCGTTGTTCATTGATTTGCTTAAGCAGGCCCAGTAACATTGTGAGACTTGTTACTGTGTTTGGCATTTCAAATACATCATGAATAGCTTGCCAGGCTTTTGCTGTGCGGGTAAGATACTCTTGGTAGCTTGCCAGGTTCTCCGAGAGGGGCGAAGGAATCAAACTCGGGTCGGCTTTGTCGGCTATGTGCAAGGCAAATGCCCTACCTGCTGTGCTATCACACCCATTATCATAATTGAAAATATCTAAACTCTCTTCCTTTCAGTTTTATTCATACTTTTCAAAGTGCCTCTGGGCAGGAGAATTAGCACAGCGGGTAGGGAGTTTGCCTTGCATGTGGCTGACCCAGGTTCGATTCCCAGCATCCCATATGGTCCCCCAAGCACCACCAGGAGTAATTCCTGAGTGCATGAGCCAGGAGCAACCCCTGTGCAACGCCGGGTGTGACACAAAAGAAAAAAAAAAGAAAAAAAGTGTTGCTTTCCCCTTCTCTCTCATCTGAACTGTGTGGGGGCTGTTCCCCATAGGACATCTGCCCATCTTCTCAGAGCAGTGGGGAGAGGTTTGGGTGACTCTCCACACTTGGTTCTGTGTTCCAGGATTGCTTCTGGTGGTACTTTGGTTGCATACCCTTTAGACCCCAGATGCAGTTCTTTTTTTTTCTTTTTTGGGTCATACCCGGTGATGCTTAGGGGTTTCTCCTGGCTTTGCACTCAGGAATTACTCCTGGCAGTGCTCGGGGGAACACATGGGATGCTGGGAATCAAACCTGTGTTGGCCACATGCAAGGCAATCACCCTATCTGCTGTTCCACTGCTCTAGCCCCCCAAATCCGCTGTTCCACTGCTCCAGTCCCCCAAATGCAGTTCTTAAGTGGTGGTGGTCTCCTCCACTTTATTTCATCAGGTTGGCAATTAAATTTCTTACATGTGTATAAATTTCATTTTGGCATTTTCATTCCATTTCATTGACCTATTAACTTTGTACAGTTCGGTACATGTGCTTCAGTATATTTTACCTTCTGGCACAACAAATCACAAAAATTTCCTCTCATTTTATTTTGTTTTGTTGCTTTTTTTTTGGGGGGGGCACACCCAGTAGTGCAAGGGAACTATTCTCAGTTCTGTGCTTGAGTTCCTACTTGAGGGGATGGGGGATCAAACCAACCAACGTTTGTCTTCTCAAATAAGAATGGAAATTGATGAAGAAGAAATACCAAACATTCTTCAAAACACCAGGAAAAAATAAATGTACTTAGTACCTTTTCTATCAGTTCTTTTGCTACTTCATTTGCTTGTTTCTCATAAGTTAGAGGACACTCCTCAATCACAAGCCTTGGGCGTCTTTGTCCACTGAGTGCTGCAGAAAGATTCGGGCTGTAACAGAGAATATGTTCATCACTGAAATTACCTGTTAGTTTTCAGCTGATGCACTCATGTCATCATGGGCAAATACTTCACAAAAAAAGATCAAGGCAATTATTTTTTAATTTTCCCCAAAACTTAATGGTCATCTTTTATAAAAAACATAAGATAATTATTAAAGTTAAGTTTATTATTAAACTTAAGTTAGACCTCTACTAATTTGATTCTAATTTAACCTGGAAGAAATACTCATGTCTGGTATTATAATAAATTTATAAAAAATTAGAGTAGATTGCTGGGATATACCTTATTATTATGCAAAAGCACAAATACAAATCCTATCTAAAAGCAGACAACATTTGCCCTTTTTCCTTTGTCTTCTCTTCTGACATTTACCTCAGTTTTAGTCTTAGCCGTGTCAGAGAACTGCTAAGTTTGTTGGAAATAATACTAAAAGAGAAGAAATAATTTATGCACTGTTTGCAAGGTTTTTAATAAAATGGTACATTTATTTAGCAAAAAAATCCTAGTATACATCTGAGGTAGTACCATGTCAGGGAGGGTGCAGACTCCCCAAAACACACTCCAAGATATGTCTAAATATGCAATTACTTAGTAGCAGTGTCCCTTAAAGGATCACCTGACACTTTTGAAAGTGTGCTTCCCCCCCCTTTTTTTTTTTTACAGTTTTCTTGTTTGTCTTTTGCTTTTATTTCCTTTTTATCTTTTTTTCTTAGTACTATAAAAGTGATTAAAGTGACTGATACTGTTTCATCACTGTAAAGAGAAAGCAACATTTTTGCTCTGATCTCTGAGATGCTTTGGGTAAATCTGAAGTCTGTGAAAACAAACAAACAAACTTTTTTTTTTTTGGCTTTTTGGGTCACACCTGGCGATGCACAGGGGTTACTCATGGCTTTACACTCAGGAATGATTCCTGGTGGTACTCAGGGAACCATATGGGATGCTGGGGTTTGAACCTGGGTTGGTGGCGTGCAAGGCAAACACCTTACCCCTGTGCTATTGCTCCAGCCCCCAAAGAAACAAATACACATTTTTAATGTGTTAAAACTTAGACATTAGTTTGATGATTTTCATCCTTCGTTGGAGGGAGGAACAGTATTTTGAAAATGATAAAAATGACAAGGAAGGCGGGCAGAAATAGCTGCAGTGTTGTTTGAGAAAACAGCTATTTAAAAGGTAATTAAAAAATATGATTTTCTTCTACAGTGGCCACCCCTAGAGGTACTAGTCAAATTCCAGGGGTCAAACTCAAGCCTTACTCATGAGAGGCATGTGCTCTACCACTGAGTCACCTCCCTAACCCTAACAAAGGTCATATTTGGGGAGGGGCATTTTGGGCCACACAGGGTGGTGCTCAGGAGATCATGTGGTACTAAAGATGGAACTGGGGCCTCCTGCATGCAAAGCATGTGCTTCCACCCGTTCAGCTATCACCTGGCCCCCAAGCAAAGGGTCTTTAAAACAAACAAACAAAATATACATATATAATATATTACATATAAAATATAATATAATATACTAAAATTATGTTTTTTACATGTTTTTAAAAAATTTCTTTAAAAATTTTTTGGATAGTGGGGCTGGAGTGATAGCACAGCAGGTAGGGCATTTGCCTTACACACGGCCGACCTGGGTTCGATTCCCAGCATCCCATATGGTCCCCTGAGCACCACCAGGAGTAATTCCTGAGTGCATGAGCCAGGAGTAACCCCTGTGCATTGCCAGGTGTGACCCAAAAAGCAAAAAAAAAAAAATTTTTTTTTTGGATGGGACCTCCCAAATAAATCCTTGTTCCAGCTGGCCAGGAATTTTATGTGAGGACCAGAGAATGCAGGTTGCTTGGGACTTTTGGTGCTGGGGATTTGATGGCTACCCCAGGAGTTCTTGGGAGCCTGTGGGTTATACCCTGATGCTCAGGGACGCTGTGTTGCCTGGCAAGTATTGTGGGCATGGCAGACACTTGACAAGAGCCTTAACTCCTAACCTCTCTTTCTCTCTCTGGTCCCTTCCTATATTTTTTGGAAAAATCTGGTATGAGATCAATTTGTTACTGTTTGGCAGAGTAAGTCTTTTTTGTCATAAAAAATTTAGAAAGTAGACGTAATTTTAGTCATTGCTACATTACATAACAATGCAGAAAAATTTAACGGTCAGTGAGAATGCCCTTCATTGGCTCAGTTGGCTCCAGGACCCAGTGAGAAGACTTGAAGTTACCAGCTGCCTCTACTATGGTCCCATTTGCTGAAGGTGCTACAGGAGCTTCCTGGGGCTTCTGGGCATCTATTTTCTTTCCCCTTTGTTCCCTTTGTCTTCATGTAGGGCATGTTTGCCTGCAAGGAGTTGAAATCAAACAAGAGCTTTAAAGGAAAGCTCTTCCTGTTTCCTTCTCTCCAACTGGGTCCAATTGCAGGAAAATGTGTTTTAAACTAAAATGTATTTTAAACTAAAGACCCCCTTATTATTCTTTGTTCTCCATCACTTTGTTTAAATTTTCTCTTAGTCAAAGAAAACTATCACTCTAAGCAGATTCTTAACCTTCAGACTCACCTTACTTTTAAGCGCGATAGCACTGCCCTGTATAAGTAACTTGCTGGTAGCTGTTTCTGCTGTCCCAAAGGTTGTATAACAGGATGAATAGCTCCAACAACATATCCTTTAAGATAGTAGTCTTCGACTTTTGTTACAATATCCTGAACTGAATTAATTTTGATGACTTCTGGATTTGGTGATGCTAAAATAGCAAATACAAAGAGATATTCACAGTCATAAAATTGAATTATATATGATTTCTATGGGTGATAACACTAATAAATAGATAATAAATTGAAAGCACAGCAGTATGCTTTCATCTCAATATAGTATCATATTCTATATATGTTGTAAATATATTTTGGAATAAAACAAAAATGACCTTATGAACTGGTAGATATAAAACCACATAAATATATCTGAAAGGAGAAATAAAATGACTTTTTAAAATTTCTTTTGGATTTTGGACCCCAATCTGTAATGTTCAAGGATTACTCCTGGCTCTGTGATCAGGGATCACTCCTGGTGGTGCTTGGAGACCGTGTGTGGTACTGGGAATTGAACCTGGGTTGGCCATATGCAAGGCAAGAGCCCTACCCAATTTACTATCTCTTGATTTTTCTTTTTAACTTAAAGCAACTTTATTTTTTAAATTTCAGAGTGACCATATGTTCATTAATAAGGCAGTGAAGTTATACATAAGAGAAATACCTTAGGCTGAAGAGCCAATTGTTTTTGTTTGTTTGCTTTTGGATTTTTGGTCACACCCAGGGCTTACTCCTGGCTTTGTGTTCAGGAATCATTCCTGGTAGGGCTCATGGGACCATAAGGGATATCAGGGATCAAACCTGGATTGGGTGCATACAAGGGAAGCAGCTTACCAGCTGTATAATCTCTCCAGTCCAAGAGCCAATTATTTTTATAATTGTAAATACTTCTTCAAGTTTTAGGGGTTTTTTGTTTGTTTTGGGGCCACATGGGAAGTGGCCCTCCTACATGGGAAGCATACAAAGCTATTTAAGCCATCTTCCTGGACAAAGATTTTAGAATTTTAAGAATAAATTGATTAATTTTGGGGGGCTGGTATGATTAAGTATAATGTGTAAGGTGCTTGCCTTCCACACCACCAACCCAGGTTTGATCCTCAGTACCTCAGATGGTCCCCTGAACCCTGCAGGAGTGCCCCCTGTAAGCCCTGAGCACCATCAGATGTGCCCCACTGTAGCACTGTCCTCCCATTGTTCATCAATTTGCTCAAGCGGGCCCAGTAACATCTCCATTGTGAGACTTGTTACTGTGTTTGGCATATTGAATAGGTCACGGGTAGCTTGCCAGACTTTGCTGAGCAGGCGACATACTCTCGGTAGCTTTCCAGGCTCTCCGAGGGGGTGGAGGAATAGAACCTGGGTTGGCAGGGTGCAAGGCAAACACCCTACCCGCTGGGTTATAGCTCCAGCCCCAAACCTTGCAAATAAATACACATTAAATTAAAACGAGTAAGTTTCTTAATTCTTAAGATTAGACATCAGGGAGATGATTCAATGAGATGGAGCGCATGCCTGGCACAGGCAGAGCCCTTAGTTGGATTCCTGGCACTGCATGGCCTGACAAGTACACCAGGTATATCCCTGTGACCCCCAGGACTGCTGAAGAGGAGACAGAAAAATAAGATATAAGTATAAGGATTTAAAAATGTGAGAAATGGCATTTGTTAAGCAAGAATTGCCTGTTTCCAGTAAAACTTAAAAATCAGTTTTTAAGTTTCTTCAGAAAACTAGAAATAAGTTCTCTTCTAAAACTTACACAAATGCTTATATAAAGGCTGAACTAGTGAAGGTATTCAGAACTTATTTTTAATAAGTAACTCTAAATGTAGGGCTGGAGCGTTAGCACAACGGGTAGGGTGTTTGCCTTGCACGCAGCCAACATGGCCGACCGAGTTCGATTCCTCCACCCTTCTCAGAGAGCCGGGCAAACTACTGAGAGTATCTCGTCTGCATGGCAAAGCCTGGCAAGCTACCCATGACGTATTTGATATGCCAAACACAGTAACGACAAAGTCTCACGATGGAGACGTTACTGGGCCCGCTTGAGCAAATCCATCAACAATGGGAGGATAGTGACAGTGACAACTCTAAATGTAGTGGAAATTTAAATATAAAACTGATGATAGATGCAGCATCTCTGGGAAGCTGGGTAAATCCATAGAAATGATTGGACAGGGGCTGGAGGGATGGTACAGCGGTTAGGGGGTTTGCCTTGCACGCAGGTGACCCAGATTCGATTCCCAGCATCCCCTGAGCACTGCCAGAAGTAATTCCTGAGTGCAAAATCAGAGTAACCCTTGTGCATTGCTGGGTTTGACCCAAAAAGAAAAAAAAAAAGAAATGATAGGACAGTAAAATTCGCACACTTTAGTAAGAGAAAAGGATATATTATATGGGAAAATTTTCTTTTAAAAAGTAATCGTAAAACATTACTGTAAACCAAATTCTAAGTTCTCATTAGTTGGTTATTATTTATATTTAAAATATAAATATGTAGTTAATAAATGCAGACAACTCATAACAGTTTCAGATAATAAAAGAACAGAAACTATAGAGGAAAAAATCCGTAATGTATACTATAGGGCCAACAAGTTGAATAAAGTGTCTGTCACAGAAGCAAGGTGGGGGATGGGAGGGAAGTGGGGAGACTGGTGGAGGGAAGTGTGCACTGGTGAAGGGCACTGGAGTTGGGACAATGTATATCTGAAATGCAATCATGAATAACTTTGTGATTCACAGTGACAAAATAATATGAGAAGAAAATAGTTTTTATTTTTCTTTATTGTTGCTGTTGTTTTGGGCACCATATCCCATAGTTCTCAGGAGACCACGCTGTGCCAGATATTGAACCCAGACTCTCACACATGCAAAGCATGTGTTCTACCAGTCACATCCCCAGTCAAGGAAAATGTTCTTAATGATGGAGCACTATAAATTTAGAAAACAATTTTATTTTCTCTAACAATATTCTCTTTTCTGGAAAACAGTCAAGTCTTAGTAATTAAAAGTAAACCTGTAATATGGTGATCTCTTTAATCCAAACATGGATAAAATTAATTCCAGGTATGCAGTGTAGGCTATTAGCCTGAGGTCAGTGTGATTACTGGTGTGTGGCAAAGGACTGCTACTGTGTGGACACAGGAAGGAGATTAAAATGAAGTAAAGGAGGAAAGGCCAGAGGAAATCCCCACTTCTCTGACATTAATATCAACATGATTGGCAGAGATCTGTCATCAGTGAGGTATTTATTCTTGGTGTTCAAACAAAAATAAAGCATTCAATAGGAAATTATTTTAACATAAATGAATCCACTTCCTCAAATTTTATTCTTTTTTAGATTTATTATTTAAAAATGAATGCTTATAATTTTTTTATGGTACTGAGGGTGGAGCTCTGGGTATGAATACTTAAAAAGTATGCATTCTTCACTGAGCTCCGTACTGCTTCTGGACCCTCTTTTAGATTTAAAATTATTTACTTTCATCTATTTTCTTCATTATTAATAATAGGAATTAAAAAATAGAGAGTTACCCTCGATTTTAAGGAAACAGCTGGGGTTTCTTATAAAACAACTCAGTTCAACTTGATTGCATGTAAATTACTTAGGGACTCATTTGTGTTTACTTCATTTTATTTTGAGCATTTTAAGCACCATTTATGATTTCCCAACAACTTAGTATGATATATTTATACAACAATAAATAATAAGGATGTTTTTAGAACTATATACTAATACTACAAAACGTTAAAAAAAAAAAGAAGTGTCTAGATAATGACATGCTAAGGAAAGAAAACAGATTACCGTCTTACACCATGCACAAAAGTTAGCTGAAAAAGGGTTAGATTTGGATGTGTCCATAAATAAATGGAAGAAAAAAGTCAAAGCACTCCATGATACTGACTTCAGCAATGTCTTTGGGGATTTGATTCCGACAATAAGGAAAACAAATGTAAAAATAAAATGACATCAAAGTAAAAAGCTACAGTTAAAGAAGTGATCATTAAACTTAAGAGACATCCTATTGAATGGGAATATATTCATACACAGATGTCTGCAAAAGGACTAACATCCAAGATATATAAAGACCTGACAAATCCCAATAACAAACAACCCCATCAAAAAATGGGGAGAGGAGCTGAACAGATATTTCACCATAAAGGCCAACAGGCATATAAGAAAATGTTCATTATGATTACTAGGAAAACACAAATGAAAGTGATTGTAAGATATCATTTTATAACTGTGATAACTGCCTATGTCAAAAGACCAGGATAAGAAGTTCTAGAGAGAGTACTGGATAAAACCATCAGCCACAGCAAGAGCTCAGTGGGCTGAGTATATGCTTTATATGCTAGAGGCCAGCGTTTGATCCCAGGCACCGCATAATGCCCTGAGCATGGCTGGTAGTGGCCCCTTAGTATAAAACTAGGAATAGCCCTTCAAGTAATACTGGGTGCGACCCCCAAAGCAAAATCTACAAAAGAACCTTCATGTGGCAATGTAAATTGGTCTAATCCCTGTAGAAAACCAGAGACATGTCTAAAAATTCAGAGAAATCCACCATATGATCCAGCCATTCCATTCCTAGATATCTATTCCAAGAACACAAGACATTCATTTGAAGAGATATATCCACATATCTGTTCACTACAGCACTATTTATGACAGTCAATATCTGGAAATAACTGTGTCGAACAACAGCAGAGTGAATAAAAAAGGTGAGGTATATATACACAATGGAATTCTACTCAGCTAAAAGGAAAGATAAAACCTACAACCTGGGTGGAAATGAAGGAATATGCTAAGCAAAGTAAGAAGAGGAAGAGAAATAGAAATTACTTCACTCATATGTAGTATATAAAGGAACAAAGCAAGGGAACAGATAGAAGTCCACTGAAAACAAATCCTTGGAATCTGACAGCAGAACTGAAGTTACCAAAGTAGGATTGGGGTTCAAAGGTTGGAGGAGTCTACTGAACTGTACTAATACCACCAAAGTGCTCATACCCGTCCCGCTATTAGCACTTTGGTGGTAGTCACAGTATGGTAACATTGTACTGGTAAAAATGAAAACATTTACAAAGTTGTAGACAAAATTTTATAAAAGAAAGTCTTACAATAAATCTCATTGCTTATTATAGAATTTATGCCTAG